CTCTCTCTCTCTCTCTCTCTCTCTCTCTCTCTCTCTCTCTCTCTCTCTCTCTCTGTGTGTGTGTGTGTATGTGTGTGTGTGTGTATGTGTGTGTGTCTCCGTGCGTCGCTATTCTGCACACACACAGTGTCACACAGTGTCGCACAGAGATACACAGACGCACAGAACAGAACTTGCGGTGCAAAATGTTGATCGGTCGGTGAGAAGTGTGAAAAAGCTGTTTCGCCCAGATAGTACTGTATCTGGAGTCGAGACCAGTACCAGTTATACCAGTTGGTCAATCTATTAAACTCAACCAGTGATCAATCAGTGAATGATCAATCAATGATCTCATCAATCGATTATCGTCAATGACTGATCAGCGAATGGTCAATCAGCCAGCAATGAAATATCAATAAATCCTCAATCAACGATTAATCAATGATAGCTCCTAATTGGAGCCTAAGTGGACAATTCGCGTGCGTTACCTGAAAATCTGATTGATTGATTGGTCGATTGCTTGATTGCTTGATTGCTTGCTTGTTTTCTTGCTTGCTTGCTTGATTGATTGATTTTGATTGTTTGTTTGCTTCTTTGCTTGTTTGATTGATTGATTGATTGATTGATTAAGGATCCCGGACGTCTTGTCTTCTCTCTTTAAACCTGCACTGGTCTTTTTTCTTGTCTACAAGTACCCCGCGAAAATCTAGAGTGCCCAGGCTCGCTGGAGGTTCGGTGGGGAACGTACCACAATTATTTTTCCTGACGGTAGCACTGCAGATTTTTTTTGGCTCGGGAAATGCAACTTTTCGTTTGTCAAAATTGGTCCGGGATTTGATTGATTGATTTTGATTGAGTGATTTTGATTGACTGGTGGTCCTGGATGGGGTGGTGTATTAGATGAGTACTACTTGCTGCTTGAATTTGATTGATTGATTGATTGATTTTGATTTGTGATTGATTATGGTTGATTTTGATTGAATGATAGACTTCACTGACGATAATGTTTGGTGAGAGAATTGGGCTTTGCCCGCTTCGGGAATGACGATATGCTTGCCTCCCTCCTTCCTCCCCTCCCCGCCGCTCCCCCCCCTCCCTTTCAACCCCCGATGGCCTCTACGTCCCGGACCTGGGAAATGGATCTGGCTGATATCCGAGGCAGATTCAGCAGAGAATGCGAATGCTTGACCTCAAACGATCGCTGGATCGCATAGCCAATGATCGCCCATGCTTCGGTGCACCGAACTATCCAAGCCAATCCACACATAATCCAATCGACCATCTAATCACATCTATCGAAGCCCAATCAATCCGTGGAATTCGATCAATTAGTCGAATCCAATCAACCAGTACTCCAATCCAAATCAAATCGAAATCATGCACAGTCCCAATCCAATCCATTCCGTCGTATCCAATCGATCATCCGATCACGTCTACCGAAACCCAATCAATCTGTGGAATCCGATCACTCAATCGAATCCAATCAACTCGTTCTCCCGTCCAATCAAATCCATTCCAAATCATGCTTAGTCCCAATCGAATCCAATCCATCTTTTTCAATCCAAAATCCATCATATCCAATCGATCATCTAATCAACATGTGTGGAATCTACTCAACATGTGTGGAATCCGATAAACCGATCGAATCCAATAACATCCGATCATCTCTAGATAGTGCAGAGTCTCAATCCTATCCACAGTCTAATCCTATCCATCTTATAGAGTTCATTTATGCCGTTCATCTGGATACGAACCTGGGCCGGTATTTCAAAAAAAGTCCGTTAAAAAAAAAAAAAAAAAAAGTCCATGGGTGTACCAACTGAGCTAGTCCCGTTGGTGTTCAATCCATTTGATCGAATTCATCTTCTCTTATCCAATCCAACGAGATCGATTGGATTAGACTGGACTAAACTGGATCGGATTGGCTGGATCGAATTGGACGTATCTGACCGGAAATATAACCTGTATACATTCGTGAATAGGATGTATCGGATCGAAAATCTGGATTTTGAACCATCTTATCCAACCCATCGCGAGTCTAGGCCAGGGAATCAAAAGGGAAGGCGATCCGATTTATCCAAGGCCCAATTTACTCCAATGTACTCCAATCTAATCAGATCGTTTCCCAAAGCCATCTTTTAGGTGTGTGTGTGTGTGTGTGTGTCCACCAAAATGTCACACACCTAGCGAAATGTTCGACAACAGTGGGCATCGCCACAGCACTGTTCAAAACGACAAAAAGAAGTTGAAGTGTATGTACCCGCAGAGAGTGGCAAGATGCATCCGTTACTGCGAGTAGTGATGAATGCACCTTCGCCACTTTTTGAGGAAGATGCACTCATATTTATTTCGTTGCGATAGTAGTACCGGTGTGGGTAGGCCATATCTATCCATCGTAGAGTCGTAGCCACCAACACGATTTTTATTACAGGTCGCACAAAAAAAAAAAAAAAGAACCCTCCAAAAAAGAGAACGTAGCGTCGACTTTGTCTATCACAGCCAACTTGGAATATGTTAGCAGCGTAAGAAAAAAAAAAGAAAAAGTGTTAGCAGCCCAATGAGAGCTGAAAGCACCGCAATGCGGCATGATCCCAGGTGGCACGTACAGCACAGGAATTTCAAATTTCCGTTGCGATTCTCTAGGCTACCAGCCGGGCATCCCGGCGGTGCAAGGACCGGAGAAGGTCCCAGCAAAAAAAAAAAAAAAGAAAGAAAGAAAGAAAAAAGAAAGGAGAAATAAGATATGTTATGCAGAAAAATGAACTGAACAAGTTTTGCCTCAGGGTGGCATCGGAATTCTTGACAAAATCTAAAATAAACAAAAGTAAAATAAAATTGTTTTATTATTTTTTTTGCCCTGGCGGGCAATCGGTCCAGGGCCACTCTGGTGGTAGCCTAAGGTTGCGAATCAATTTGTACCACCGGGTCCCAATTTCCACTCCACTAGCAGCGTTGAGTTTCCTCAACGCCTGAACCTGGACGTGTTTGCGGAGATGTGCAGAAATCACGTTGAGTTTCCTCAACCGCACCTCTCCACAAAGACGTCCAGATTCAGGCGTCGAGGAAACTCGACGCTGCTACTGGGAGGAAACTCGACTCTGCTACGGGGACTAGGCCCCTGGTGAAGAGCAGTTCTACATTTTTTTTTTTTTTTTTTTTTTTTGAAGGGGCAGTTCTTCACGCCAGCTTGAGCTATCAGTGCTTTGCAATCTCGAAGCCTCATTGTGTAACACCTTTCTGTTTACAACCGTCTTCTCCTCAACACAACGCACGCACGCTCATTATGAATGTATACAAACTAGATTTCCGGTCCGGTACAGTCAAGATGGGGGCGCGTTATGTTCGGGGGAAGGCGGTCGGTAGCCTTCCACTTGTACTAGGATGATGGCGAACGCATTGCCTGCGCTGGTTATTAAAAAGGATGTGAATCATGTGAGATACACACGTGCAGGGGGCAAGGTCTCACTTGCGCAAATTAGGAGATTTGGGCCGTTGATCTTCGCTATCTACGGTCAGTATCTCTTAATTCGTGCAAGTGGGACCTAGCCCCAGATGATCGTCGTCCATGCAGAAAAAAAACACACTCCTGCATAGGACAACACGCCTTGCACAATAATTCCGTGCGCAATTATTCGAGCATAAGTGAACGCGATAACCCTCATTCTGAATGAATACAAGCTAGATTTCCGGTCCGGTAGATGGGGTTGGTGCGTGGGTTATGTTTGGGGGAAGAAGTGAAGGCGATAAGGGAAGAAGAAGCTGAGTCGGGGGGGGGGGGGGGGGGGGGGGGGGGGGGGGGGGGGGGGGAAGAAGTTGGCGCGGTGTTTTTTTTTTTTTTTTTTTTAATAATAATTAAGCTATCTATATAGTCTTCTCTTATCTATCTCATCTTCTTGATAGTATGCATCTATCTCATCCTCTTGCTAGTCTATGTATAGTAGGGGGGAACACCAGCCAACCCTGATCTCCACGAGGTAGGTTTGCACCTCAGCAGTGGTGCAAGAGCAAGGCTGTACCAGTCCCTCATCACGGTGATCAGGGGTGGCCAGGCATTGCCGAGGGGGGAAATCGGCGGCGGTGCTACCCCGGTAGCGCCGAGCACGGGCCAGTCACTGCCCCTCCCCCTATCCCTCCCCCCCCCCAAATCCCACAGGCTGGTAAGTTTGTCTAATGGCCAATATTGTTGCTGCATAGCAACCCACAACATCAGCCAAGGTCCTGCCAATGCTGGCTTGGGGGGCCAACGGGTTATCTCAATTTCACCTCACACTACCTAACCTACCCCTACTTGTAATTCTTTAAGCCCAACCAATTCAATTACCTGTCAAATCTGGACAGGACGGCCTTTCAGGCCTTTTTTATTGTCATTACTCCTAATTATAGGCATACGGGGAACGCGGTAGCAGCCAGCCAGAACCGTGTTTACGAGAGAACATGGGGGGGCTATTCCCGACCCGCAGGTGGGCGATACCGGCCAGGGGACAGCCGGTAGCATCAGGGACCATGCCAACAGCACCGATCCCTGTGCCTCCCCTCAAGTCCCCTCCCCTAAGGATCCCTGTCCCTCCCCTCAGGACCAGATCCCACTGGCAAAGAGGATGGGAAAAAGAGTCTGAATCTGACGGTGTTTGTGGAGATGTGCAAACAATTCTGACAGTTCTGTT